AGTCCTTTACAGTATGCTGCTCGATTACTATTTTGACTAAACTAGTAATGTGTTTCCTCGGTGTAAAGTTTGACGAATTGTTCTTTGGGTTTACTTTATTGCAGGCACTTGGTTGCCTGTGATCTTTCTGGTTGTATTAGCATAGGACATCGCTGGTTTTAACTAGTTGGCAGTTCACAACTTGTCAGATGTTCGTTTTAGTGCAACGCCATTTCATTTCTCTTCATTAAACTTACATGGGCTTGCGTAGTCACCCGTTGTGGCCCTTCCTTGTGGCTTCTATCTACTCTTTTCCCATTTTATCATCTTGGTTGATAATAATTGCATGCCTCTAAACATGGATCCTAACTGTATATTAGCCAAATTATGAAATCGCTCTCTTAAGTGTTCTCATTTAGTATTAGCAAAAGTGCGGGCAAGATTTGTCTGGCTTTTATTCACTAGCATTCCAGGATTCCATTAGCAATGCCATTCGAATGTATTCACCGTTCACTTTCACTTATGTCTTGGTAGTTGTGAAGTGTTCTTGTTCCCATTACTTTTAATTTTTGCGTAAATTTACTCAGCTAGTTTCAGTTTGCATGACATGCCGTCTTTCGTTTTCTCGAACATCTGAATCACTTGTATATTGGGACATCTGACATTCCCATCAAATCGCGCATCACTGAGTGTGTATTGTTTTACTTTTCTAGCTATAAACACGAAAATGAATTGATATTTGGCTTCATTAGCTTATCATCTTGTGTTATTTTCTCAAATTTCAATGGACTTTTCACCATGTGTAATAGCGTGTCTTGTGTCGAAACTTGTTTATTGATATTTTCTATGCACGGGTTACCGCTTCTAATTTATTCATTTATTTTGATTTTCATTTCTCAATTTAGAAACACTTGTTAAGTGCTGCGATCTCTCTCAGCTTTGGTACCGCGAATTTTTCTTGGAGATAGCCAACGGAACTCGCATCCAGTTTCCAATCGAGATGAGTTTGCCCTGGATCCTAACCGACCACATCTTAGAGACCCACGATCCCGCCTTGATGGAATCTCTGCTCTACCCTCTGGACCTCTACAACGATGCAGCCGATTGTGCCTTGAACCGCTTCCACAGACGCTTTTTCTTCGACGAAATTGAGGCTGAAGCTAATCTTGTGTTTGATCAGCTTGTCTACAAGTTGTCTGATCAGTTGTTCAGGTACTACAAGCAGTACGCTGCCTCGATCTTGCTCGATAAGAAGTTTCGGATGGAGGCGCAAAAGGCTGGCTGGCGAGAACCCTATCCACAACCGAATAGATACGCTGCTGCATTAATTCGTCAACGCAGCGTTCAATTACTGGGGCGTTCTATTGATCTTTCCTACCTTTTGTCCCAGAGAATAAACAGGGCTATTACGAAATCATTGGAAGAGGCAATCCAACGCTTCCTGTGCTCCGATATAACCGCAGTTGTGGTAAGATGTTCTTGCATCTTGTCTTCTAGCTCCAGCTTATGCAGCTAAATTGAAATCTGAGTAGGAGTTGACTTTGGGATCCTACTCTTCACTCTTATGAGCAGTTTGGCTGACAGTGGATGGGAGATATATTTTAAGCAACTGTTTGTGGTTATTTGGTGATAGCCCGAGGTCAACTAGTGCTTCAAAAGGTTTATGCTCCTTCTGTGTTTTGTGGAACATTTTTACTGCAATGTCCAAAGTAGACCTTATCAGGTTGAAAAGAGGACTTTTGCCTATGGCCACCAGGGTTATGGAACGACCGATCGTGGCTGTTCCAAAATTCGGACATTGATACGCGTCTAGAAATGGCTATCTGATCAGATGCTGGTTCCGGTATTAAACTAATTGTCACGACGTTCTGTTTTTATTTACCTTCCTGTTTTATTTTCTGACCTTAGCTTTGTGATCTGGCGCCATCCAGGGACGTGTTTTTTTAGAATGACTCCTGATAGGCTGTAAATTAACTCGATATCATTCCGAACTAGGTCTTGTTTAGATGCTTTTCATCTACATTTTATAACATGATTGAATTCGTATCTGTTTTGTCAATAGTGTTATCATTTTACAGAAGTCCATGCCCGCCATATTGAGCAAATTTTCTGTTTAATGGACGGCATTCGCCCTACTTTCGATGTTTAGGCTGGGGCTATGTATAAGAGTGCGCCTTATTTTAATTCTCTTATATCAATAGCTGTTTATTTTGTGCGTGCTTTATTACTGAATCCTGTTTCACTGGTTTCGTGTTTTCCAAATTCGGCGGGTTGAGAACGTTATCAAGTATGTCAATTCCTTGTTTCTACATCTCCCTTGTAGGAACTGGAGGCCTTAATAGAATGCAACCGCCTATGTCATCGGATGCTCGCTGAATATTTGGAGCTGGATGACTTTGATGGGATGTTACAGGAAGCAAACAATCTTGTCACATCGCCTCTAAGCAAGATCGCCTTCCATGTATTTTGGGAGGTTACTTGGGACTTGGTTAAAAATTACTGTTACAATGGCTCCACCAATAGGTAAGACGAAAGCATTCCAATTTCTTAGTCTACTTAACGTGTAAGGGACATTTCACAGCTTAGTCTGCTAGTTAATCGTCTCACGATCTCGATATACTTAAGCCTGGCATTACGTGTGCTACTTTCGTTAAAGGTTTGTCCAAACAAAGTTTGCTCTAGCCGAGACACTCGAGCGCGAGAAACCCTCGCCCTGTGCGCCCGAGTACTTGTGGGGCAGTAAGAGTCTCAACTCCTGCTACGAAGCCATTTTTCAGCTCTGTCGGGGTTTTATCGGTGCTCCACACTTCTCGGCAATCTGCAGGCTCCTTGGTTACCAGGGCATCTTCATCATCTTTACCGAAATCATGAAATTCTGCAAGTCTCTTGTAGGGTTTGCTTTTTCTCGTTTAGTCATGGTTGAGGCGCCCTTCAAGACAGTTTTTTTCCGCCTTATTTTAGCTCTCATGAATGTACTAGAGTTTTCATTTCAATGTTTACACTATTTACGTTTCCCTTTGGACATCCTGTCCAAAAGCAAGCAAGATTTTTTTAACTTCGTCAATGTATCGCTGCGCTTACTACGATCGGTTTCATGCTTTCC